TGTGTGTGTGTGTGTGTGTGTGTGTGTGTGTGTGTGTGTGTGTGTGTGTGTGTGTGTGTGTGTGTGTGTGTGTGTGTGTGTGTGTGTGTGTGTATGTGTCCAATTTGTTAGCCCCTGATAACTGTTCCATTCCCTATTTAGAAAAAAAAATGCTGCATAAACATTATTTTTCCTTTTGTGTTCCATGAAAGGAAAATTCATCAAAATTTTTAAAAGGCACAAGGTTTAGAAAATGTTGACAGAATAAATTTTTTTGTTTAACAAACAGTGACTAAGTGAAGTGGGCCTGCACAAGTTAGAACAAATCTAAACAAGAGAAATGTGGGAGGAAACAAATGTAAATAAATAAAAAAGAGAATAACTGACCTTCCAGGCGCTGGTTCTCCTTCTCCATTCTGATGAGCAGAATTTGTTGGTGGATGGCTTTCTTCCACAGGCCCCTGTAGTCAGCTGGGCTCCGCTTCTGTCCGGCTGAGGACTGCTCTGGGGACTGAGGGCCCGTCTGATCCCCCTGATCCTGAGTCAGTGCCCGAGGAGAAAGTGGCAGCAGCTCCCGACCGTCCATGTGGTCTGGAAAACAGCAGATGCTCAACAGAATGTCTTGGATTCACGCTTTTAGTTGCATGGAATTAATTTATAATAATAAAATGTACTATGATGGGACTAAGACCATATCTAAAACCATAAGGCAACAAGAATAAATGACTATACTTTTAACATTAAGATAACACACTTAAAAAAGGATTTTTGCTTTCATTTGTTCATTCTCATATCATTTATAAACTATGTTCATTTGTGTTGGAACAACATCACTGTAGAAAAACATTTACTCAACTTAAAATTGTAAGGCAACTTGAGTCAACTTAAAAAAGCTCTGCAGCAAGTTGCCTTACAATTTTGAGTTGAGTCAATTTTTTTACAGTGATGAAAGAATTGTGTGGAGCCCAGCATTTTTTAGTGTGTGTGTGTGTGTATTCTGTATGTTTAAGTGTGTAAGTATATTAAAACGAAATAATCATTACAACAGATTTCATTTGCTGTTGTTACAAATTTACAAAAATATATAAATGATACTAAAGTTGTAATTAAGATTATTCTAATATGCTTTACATGAAAATACTGTAAATATAATAATAATATTTTTTGGGTGGTACGATGGCTCAGTGGTTAGCATTGTCGCCTTACAGCAAGAAGGTTGCTGGTTCGAGTCCCGACTGGGTCAGTTAGCATTTTTGTGTGGAGTTTAAATGTTCTCTTGTGTTGGCGTTGGTTTCCTCCGGGTGCTCCAAAGACATGCACTATAGGTGAATTAAATAAGCTAAATTGGAAATGGTGTATGAGTGTGAAGGCAAGAGTGTATGGGTGCTTCCCAGTACAACTGGAAGGGCATCTGCTACGAAAAACATATGCTGGATAAGTTGTCGGTTCATTCCACTGTGGTGATCGCTGATGAATAAAGGAAAATGAATGAATAATAATTTTTTTTAATTATTTGCAATTTTACCAATTTCTGAAAATCCTACATCTATTTTTTTTAGTCATTGTTATTATACACAACTGTATATACATGCTATATCGTTGTTGTCAGTGTTATTTATATCATGTGTATACATATATTACACATTCTATAGTGCTTTGGGGTGTTATTTTGTGCTCTCAAATACCAGTCAAACAGAGATTTACCTACAGTTAGCAGAACAATGATTTATCCTGTTAATGTTGACTATAAATAGGCAGCTGGTAGGACCGGGTGTAATGTTGCACCTGTCTGCATGTTTACCCACCCACGTTTTGCATCGAATCAGAGGGTTTGTTCATGGGTGACGCCACCCTCAGGAAAATCTTCTGCCGCCAAGAAACTCTGCGCGGAGGAGGCACCAGGGTCAAAGAGTCAGTGCTGCAACCTGACAGAGACCTCTTTCTGCCCTCGCCATTACCACTACACACACACAAACACACACACAGAGAAATAAGAACACATAGCAACAATGAGCAACTATTATAATCTGTATGATCTCAATACGGGTTGTCAAACCAGTTATAACAAAGTGGATCTGTAATTTTTTTAAATATAGAAAACTCTTTCAGCAATGCATTTAGGCAAAAGCTCATGAGCAAAAAGAAGCAGAGAGAGTCATAACAGATGTTAATCACTTCATGCATAAGCTACATAAAAGAGTTCCTGTTTTGTGGAAAGAGAAATGTTATTAGGAAGTGTAAATAATGAAGAACTGAATGATGCCTACAGAGAAAACTTTGCAGAGAAATCAATAATCAGATCTTGTAAAATGAATGCAACATGATTATCTTTTTATATCTTGTTTAATTAATTCATTTATTTATTCATTTATTAATTAACTATTTATTCATTTATGTTTTTATTTTTTGTGGGTAATTCTTAAAATACAACTTGTTACAGTAAGAAATCGGATGCAATCTCTTTTTTGTAATCAGTAACATTCTCGTAACACTTTATTTTAAGGTTTCCTTGTTACACTTGTTCTGTGTACTTACTATACGGTTAGTTTTAGATGCTCATAAAACTATGTATAATTAATTGTAATTATTAATGTAGTAAGAGTTTATAGCAAGTATGTGTAATTAATGTTATTCATTAGTAATTTAATTGTTGCACCTTAACAAAGCCACCTTACAATAAAGTGTGACCCAGATTAGTTACATTTATTGGGTTATCAAATATTGTAATGCTGTTACATGCAACAAGTACTCACTTAATTCAGTTTATACTATACTTCACCAGTTAATGATGTCTACGTTTAAATTAATCTGCATGTAAACAAGTTACACAATATTTACAACTTAACAACGATTTAAGAAACAAATAAAATAAAACACAATTTGTGGTTTATTTTATGCCAGCATGTATAGAAAAACCATAATTTTGAATTGTCTTTACACAAATAATTATATAATTATGCATACAGCTATAGGAAAACAATACATTTGGAAATTCAGTTTCTCTGGATTTTTATTTTATCATTACATGTGAGTAAAATGCAAGTACATTGCTTATGAATTTTAAATAAAAATATAATTTTAAACACAAAAATCCTAGATGGTCAAAATTAGATGTTTTCAGACATGTTTATATTACAGGGTCCTATAAACATAGTACCTAAATTAACACCCCCAGTATATATACAGTAGTACCATAAAAGTCGATCATTTCGCTTACACTTAGCTCATTTATTCGTTAGTTTTCTTTTCGGCTTAGTCCTATTATCAAACAGGGATCGCCACAGCGGAATGAACTGCCAACTTTCATAAATTCATTCATTTTCTTTTTGGCTTAGTCCCTTTATTAATCAGGGGTCACCACAGCGAAATGAACTGCCAACTTATCCAGCTTATGTTTTACGCAGTTTTATTATGACTGGGAAACATCCAAACACACTCATATTTCTTGTATAGGATTAAGATGTGATAAAATACAATAAGTAAATAAGATGTTTTTTAGTTTAAGAATTTCTTAATTTTTGTTCATTTTTTGAAAGCAGCACAGCACAATTATTAAAATAACACCATAACTTTAAATTCAAGCACTTTCAATGACCTATGTTTGTTTTTTTAAGTACTTTCCAGGCCTTGAATTCATACGTCTGAAATTCAGGTACCTTCAAGAAGCGTAGGAACCCTGATATTAGTTGTAAGAAAACACAATACCAATGTTTTAACATCAGAAGAGTTGAGATGTCCATATTTGGTAGAATAACTCAGATTTTCAACATCAACAACAAATGCTGACTTTCATTATTTTGACTAATTGTCTTTTTTCTACTTTAAAATCTACAGAAAGAACAACGTGTACTTAAAATGTAATCAAAATCCTTTTTAATCATCTCGCTAGTCTCTCCTTGTTTTCCTCCTACCTGCGTAGTTACCACAACAATACACAGACAACAGCAAAGGACACTTCAGACAGCATTAATGAAAGCGCTTTGAATGTTATGCATTAAATGTCGGCTAGAGAAACGGACCAATCCTGATCGCCGCTCAACAGACAGATGTGAAACACAATCAATTAGAAGAGACAGCTGGTGACATTCAGCACACACAGCAAGAGAGAGAGAAAAGAAAACCTCTCTTCAAGAAAACAGAGCCGAGCCAAGGATGTGACATTTTAAATGTTATCTCCTCCTCTCAGAGAATTCACAGCACTGGATCATTACAGCCCTCTGTGTCAAACAAATGAAGGGCAAATACACAGAGAAACACACCATTTGTCAGTGATATCAATGTGTCTGTTGTAAAGATGAAGAGGAGCTTGATTTTAAAGCCACTTGAAGTATCAAACAGCATTGTCTTGTTAAGAGATCATTGGGAGAGAGTTGAGTGTAATATTTTACACATGGTTTCACTGAATGTTCTCTATTCTAATCCACTCACCCTTGACAGTCCGTACTATAACTTATGCTCACTAACGTGAATGACAGGAGCATTTGTTAAAGGGATTGTTTACTTACATGTTTTTCAAAACCGTATGACTTTGTTTCTGACAAACATAAAAGACAACGTTTTTTTTTTTTTTTGCCAACTGAATTGGTCAGTTATTCCTCAAGTAATTTCTTAATTCCTGTACACACCTATGTAGCTTTTGTAACAACACACAATCTGAACATGCAGCTCAACTCCTTGTTCAAGCTCTTGTTCTCTCCAAACTGGATTACTGCAACTCTCTACTAGCTGGGCTTCCAGCTAACTCTATCAAGCCTCTTCAACTGCTCCAGAACGCAGCAGCACGAGTGGTCTTCAATGAACCTAAACGAGCACATGTCACTCCGCTGCTAGTCCGTTTGCACTGGCTGCCAGTTGCTGCTCGCATCAAATTCAAAGCTTTGATGTTTGCCTACAAAGTGACTTCTGGCCTTGCTGCTCCTTATCTGCTCTCACATCTGCAGATCTATGTGCCCTCCAGAAACTTGCGTTCTGTGAATGAACGTCGCCTCGTGGTTCCATCCCAAAGAGGGAAGAAATCACTTTCGCGAACGCTCACGCTCAATCTGCCCAGTTGGTGGAATGAACTCCCTAACTGCATCAGAACAGCAGAGTCACTTGCTATTTTTTTAAGAAATGACTAAAAACTCAACTATTTAGTCTCCACTTCACTTCCTAATCTGCAATTGCCTCTCTGAATATCACATTAACTGTACCCAAAAAAAAAAAAATACTAATACTACTAATACTTCTCTTCTTAGACTTTACAGACCTGAAACTTGCCTATAGCACTTATTCATTGTTGCTCTTAGTTGTGTAAATTGCTTCCTTGTCCTCATTTGTAAGTCGCTTTGAATAAAAGCGTCTACTAAATGACTAAATGTAAATGTAAATGTAACAAATAAGCAAAACAACAATCATTGATTTTCACTTTTCAAACAAAAGCTCACTTTGACAATCAAAGTATTATAATTGTATCTGATATATTTAGCTGGTATATTTTTGGTATCCGCTTAGGTGTTAGGTGTGACCTCACACAAAGTAGCTTTCGGGTTCAAGCACCATATCAAATGTATGGGGAGATTCAACAAATGGTAATAATAAACGTTTACAAATCGATACTTTCGCAAATCACAATCACTATATATATATATATATATATATATATATATATATATATATATATATATATATATATATATATATATATATATATATATCCATGCCTATTTTCAGATGGTCAGATAGGGATTTGTTTCTTATAAATTGTTAAAATATTGGTGTTTGTGATGCAGCATGTCCACAGACTGTTGTGTACATTTCTTTTTGAAATTCACTGTATTGTGTGATATGACTAAAAAGTGGTCATAAACGAATATTTTCTCAATTCAAATGCCTTCAAGTGCCTTGGACCTAGAAAGGCATTTCCTACGTTACAGACACGTCACAACTTAAGCATAAAATATAGCTGCTATATTTTTTTAATCTTTGCATTAGCAAGATTGAATAATTTTACATCTCCCCTAGAGTAAAACAGGAGAGTTTTACCATTTTATAATCCATTTAGCTGATGCCCAGGTCTGGTGGGAGCACTTTTAGCTTAGCTTAGCATCGATCATTGAATCAGATTGAACCATTAGCGTCTTGCTCAAAAATGGCCAAAAAGTTTTGCCATTTAAAGCTTGCTTCCTCTGTAGTTATGTTATGTACTGACCGATTGAAAATGAAAAGATGCTATTTTCTAGGCTGATATGGATAGGATCTATACTTTCAATCCAGCATAATAATAAAGGAACTTTGCTGCAGCAGTTGCAATGATATTACGCAGCACCTGAAAATAGTCTGCAGCACCAAAAGCACTTGCACCATCAGTTAAAATCTGTGTACATTTACATATAGACACACACACACATACGTATACATATACATAAAGTATATAGTGCTACTGTTAGCTAAAATACAATAACTTACTGGTTAAATCCACAGATACAGTGTGTTTTGTTTTCAATTGTGACTCCCTGAATGATTATAGAAATGATTAGCAACAGGCTTGATTCTGATATCTCACATCCAAACACAACAAAAATGCAGCAGCGTCATTTCAAAGTATCTTCAAGCTCAATTATGCTGAAAACACCATTCTGAGCTGGTTAAAGATCCTGACCTGGCCAAGCTAGACTCTATACTAAACAAACACCACAAAAACACCGCAATATCTGATGTTCAGGTATCCATTTTACTCTATTTAAGTATTCATTTAAAAACATTTAAATTTAAAATCACTTCAATTGTCCAAACAAGCCTGTCAACACCTGCCTGGGAAACATCCATAAACACATGTACACTACGGCCAATTTAGCTTATTCAATTCACCTATATCGCATGTCTTAGGACTGTGTGGGGAAAAGGAGCACCGGGCGGAAACCCTTGCCAACACGGGGAGAACATGCACACTCCGCACAGAAATGCCAACTGAGCCAGTCGAGACAAAAACCAGCAACCTTCTTTCTATGGGATGACAGTGCTAACCACTGGGCCACCACTGGGTTGCCTTATCCAATATTAAAAATCATAAATTATACTCAGTTTTCAAGCACAATAGACTACAAACAGTATTAGTAAAGAGTTTGGAAATAGTTGATGGATGTGATATACAGCAGGTGATAAACGCTTCTTTTTACCAATAGTTAGTAAAGACGTCAACATGCAACTGAAGTTTAGCACCCCTCTTGTCCAGTGAGCAATATCGAAATCCATCAATGCTGACATGAAGAGCGATAGAGAGTAGGTGAGTACAGAAGTGGTTCTTCTCAAGTGGTGCCACAGTGACTGAAGCCATTGGGTTAAAAAACAGACAGGCGCAGAGAAGAAGGCCAGCGCCATCAGCGCCATCAGCTCCAACCGCGGGACCCTGAACGGACCGATGCTCTTCTCACCTCTTTAGACTCCCGCTGTCCGACAGGGAGGCTAGCGAGCCAAGGGAACCCTGGTAAAAGCTTTTCAGGAAAGTAGGGGTGTGGAAGGAGGATGAGAGGCCGAAGTAGGACTCGCTCTCAGAGACACTGCGCACTCTCGAGAAACCAACGGTGCTGAGGGAGCCAAACATAAAAGGCCCACAACAAATACATGTTACTTACACAGGCCTAAACACTGCCATTGAGGAACAAGATAGGACACATCAGTGCTTCTAAGGAGACCAGCATAACAATTTGAGCTTTTATCAAGAAACTGAAGAATCTTTCAGGGTTTCAATTTAAAAGCAAATGTTTAAAACATAAAATATATGAGCTTTTAAAAGTTTCATATAAATAATTCTACACCAAATACTATTAGTTAGAGTTAGATAATATATTAGCATGTGACAAATATACATCAACAAAGCAGGATATTTTAGTGATAATTAGTGATTACTTTTTGTATTTGTTGGATGCTCATTCATTTCCATGTATAAAGCAACTAAAATCTACAATTAAAATTTTATGTAAAAAATTAAATGTTAAATGTATAAATAAATTGCATATATGCACGCATGTATAAATATCACCCAGCAATTTAAAATTGATCTATATCATCTGCATTTAAAATGCCCTTTAAAACTTCCCAAATACATTAGTGATTTAAGGGGTTTTCAAAATTATTTAACATTTAAATACAAGTTAAAGAAATGGCTAAAAGCAAATCAAGTTTGTAATCATGTGTAGTTCTTTTCTCTAGCTTTTTATGAAATTCTTATTATATATTTAATCCTTTTGATGTATGTAACTTTACTGTTATTATATGTGTAATAATGTGTTTTTTTATTTTAGTTGTCTTTTTAAAATCTGGCAGGGACAACAGATGAAAACTAGCTCTTGTGTTTAACTATGGCTTATTTACAGTTTTACTGTTGATTAATGAACAATGTCCCTGTTAAATAAAACGTAATAATAATTTATCCAAAAACTTAATAAGTGACCATAAACTGACAGCCCTAGGTTTACAGTTTGTGTTAATACAGTACATTTGACTCTTTAAAAAGACATCAAAGCAAAATTAATGAATAATTCAAAATATATTTAAGTAAAATAAAATCAAAGAAATACACAATATGGACGAATTGACATTTATTTTGAGACTTTAAAAAAGTTATATTTCTAAAACACTGAAAGAAATGGATTGATTAATATATGGACCCTTTTCACAAGCCTGTTATGAAGCGTTTAACAGTGATCACCATATTAAATCCTTGAAAGTTTTTAATATTTAGATTTTCTTTAAATGTATGAACATTTATATGTCTTAACAGTTGACGTCAGAATTATTTGCCCCCTGTATTATTAGCCCCTCTTGTTTATTTTTTCCCATATTCTGTTCAACAGAGATAAGATTGTTTCAAGTGGCTAATAATTTTGACCTTAAAATGTTTTTTTAATTAGATTTTATTCTAGCTGAAATAAAACAAATGAGACTTTATCCAGAAGAAAAAATATTATGAGAAATACAGTGAAAATTTCCTTGCTCTGTTAAGCATCATTTGGGAAATATTTAAAACGAAAAACAATTCAAAGGGGGGTTAATAATTCTGACTTTAACTGTATGTATGTACATTGTCATCTTTGATTCAAATTACAAAAAGCAAATAACCGCTTGTGTGAGACGTTTTTAACACAGAGTCTTATGAGACAGGAGAGTAAATTTGATGTTATTCTCTCCTCTGACTGCCATCATCAGTTTACACAATTGGTTTCTGAACGTCTTAACAACATCATTGTAGAGTTTTTTTTTTTTTGTTATTATTTGAGCAAATAAGATCGTAAAACAATTATTTGTTTAATTCTACCATTCATTGTGCTCTAAGATTCATATTCAGTCGTCACTATGACGACTTCCGCTACTAAGAAGCCTGGAAATGTGAAAAGGGTCTATTGACAACTGTTGAATGCACTGAATCTAAAACAATGTAAACAGCCCAATATTGTTTTTTACTTTTTTATGTTTTGTATTTTGTTTATTATTTCATGTTGAATATTGTAAAATTTTAGATTTTTAAAATGTAAAAATGTTCTGTTGTAAAGTTTTAAACAGTTCTCAATAAAAAAATACAGTAAAAAGAAAACCCCATTAACAAAATGATAGTTCATTAGAATCAATAAATCTTTAAACAATTAAAATCACACAAGCATCACATCCTTTAATTTTAGTCATTTACAAAATGATTTAAATTAGTTCTAAATCAGACTCTATGGCATGCCACATGAGTCATAGCAGTCATGCTAAAATCAGCTATAAGCATAATGATGATTATGACAAACTGTTTTCAGCAGATTTGCTGTGACCCTCCTCACATGACTCCAGAAGAACAGCTGGAAGGATATATGACTATCACATGAGCGCAAACAGGAAGTGATGCGTTACCTGCTCTGCAGCAGCTCTGGGGCCAAAGACTGTTGGCGGCGCAGAGGAGCCTTATTGGCCTGAGAGGAGACGTCAGTGAAGGAGATCTTCTTCTTGATGGGCGGGTGGCTGAAGGTGTGCGCCCGCCGCCGGAACTGTGGGGCATCTGGGTCTTCTTCAAGGTAACTGGGTGGAGTCCCGGGTGGAGAGTCGCCAGGGGAGTCGCCCTGCTGGGTGAACAGAAAATAAACACATCATGAACACAAAACACATGCTTCTCAAGGTCTCTTTAAACTCAGCTTATCAAAGCTCAAATTCAACAAGGAACAATTGCAGACAGAAACAAACAATCAACCGAGATATGCACAGACAACCTTCATGTTTCAGACAAGGCAAAAAAAAGGTATACTTTATGCCATTCTCAACCATAAGCTAAATAAACAGTTTTACTGATTAAAATATAGCACATTAGATATGACATTTGCATATTGCATATGTTGAAAATATATTTTTAACTGAAACTAAATTTAATATATTTTTAAAATCTAAAATATATTTAATTTCAGCCTCCATATACCAAAATATAATTCATTCTATTATTACAAATTGCATTGTAAAATAATTTATAGTATTTAAAGTGTATGTATACATGAGGTTTTACATTGCTACTGTAAAATATTTTCTTTAAAATTATATACATTTTCCAAAACAGTACAAAAAGTGATCAAAAATATACTTGTAGAAAATATATTTTTGCAAATAAATATTTTTTTAAAAATACCTTGCCAATTATATATTTTTAAATTTAAATACTATGAAATATATTTAAAGATAGATTTGAAAATACACTTTCTACCGTATGGGTAATTCATCCAGCGTTCTCCCTCTCCCCGCAGCCTGACTCTCTCTTTGCTTCCCCAAGCAGAAGTAGCAGTATTGGCGGTAACGTGACAAAACACACGCTTTGCCATCTATTGTATGTTAATAGTGTGTGTGTCACAGCAGAGACACACACGTGAGCCTCTGGAGGTGGACCACAGCACAATAGAGGATTCTGGCAGCTGTTTGCAGTAATGGCTCTATAGGAAGGGTCTTTCCTCCTGACACTGTTTCCTGTCTCTACAGTGGTTCCTGAAGCCTTGCTCAGTCAACAGTAAAGCCAGGAAACGGCTGCTGAACGCTCTCTGCTGCTTCACAAAGCCTGTTCACTTCCTTCAGCTGCCTACTGCTAAATTTGGGGAAAACAAATCTTCCAAACAACATTACGCCTCTTTTGGGATGGTAATGTTAAGCAAACAGGGGTCAAGCATTTGGGACTAGTTAGTTGAACATAACTGTCAAAATGGCTGAAAAAAGTCATTGTTTTTGCAAAATGGGTCTACAGTATATTAATAAATGCCAATATTTTTCAACAGGGTTACACAAAGACTTTTTTTCTGATTACTGATTAAGAATCTCTGGTCATTTCCATACTTGTAGATTGTTTGCTTTGTTACAAAACCACCAGTTACAATGTTGCAATTTCTTCTTGGCTCAGTTCACAATTTCTGTCACATGCAAGCAAGCCTTCATCCCATTAGTCACTTGTAGTCAAGCGCATAAAAGTTAATGTTCTGCTCATATTTTCTATAATTATGACCCTGGGTCCACAAACACAGGCATAAGTGTCATATTTTTAAAATGTAGATTGTTAAATCATTTGAAAGCTGAATGTATAAGCTTCGTACTTTGTCAGAATAAGACTATTTATAACTGGAATACAAATATTTTTAATGTCTGGAGATTGAGGTTTAAAAAATAATTAAATAAATAAATAAATAAATAAATAAATAAATGCTGACAAATAACCATTAAAGTTGTCTAAATGAAGAGCTTCTCTATATAATAATAATATAATAATAATAATAATAATAATATTACTAAATAAAAAATAGTTTTGATATATTTACAGTAAAAAAATTACAAAATATGGAACATCATCTTTACATAACATTCTAATAATTTTTGGCAATATCTATAATTTTGCCCCATACACTGTATTTTTGGCTATGGCCAAAAATATACGCATTCAACATAACACTGTTTTTGTGGTCCAGGTGCATATTTTGGCTCTATTTTTCATTGCTGTTATATTATTTTACAGCTTTACTCAAGACTCAAGGTTGTGATTTTGACAGCTGTTACAGCTGAACAGCTGAAATATCTACTTCTGACTACATTTCTGTGCCTTTTAATAGTCTTTGCTCAAGGTTGACCTACCATTCATTTAAAAGGCATGCTGCATTTGTTAATAAATGCTGTGTTATTCAGTTGGGGTTGCATAATGATATTTTTCCACTAGTTTTAGATTTCTGAATTGGGATTTGAAAGAGTATTTTATCACCTGCTTTGATCCAAACCCGATTTTAAAACTGTTACAAAGTTTCGATTTCTGTTTTGCTCAGGTTCATTTTCACAACACAATATTTGTCACATGCAAGAAAACTCATCCCCACAGCCATATTTTGTCTTTCTTTGTGGCTGTTATTGTATTCTTTTATCTTTTTGAGCAACTATCAAGGCTTTGTTTTTGATCGTTTTTCCTTACACAAAATTTATTATATTTTTCCAACAAAATTAAACCTTTCACTTTATTAATCTAGAGTTAATTCTGAAAAGCATTAGAAAAACAAATGATCACAGACCAAAAATTTAGGTGTGGATCCAGCATTATTGTCATGTTCATACATTCAAATTGTCCATAATATTTTCAGGTGTTCAGTGGTCAAAAATTAAAAAAGGTTAAAAAAAAAAAGATATTTTTTTTGTGTTTTGTGATTCATGTTTTCATCTCCACTGACCTTAACACTGGGTTGGTGTTGTATATTATGGTCCAAAAAATAACATTCTTCTGTTATTCTTCTTTCTGAACATTCTTCTATATTCTGTTCTTAATAAAAACATCAGTCATTTAAAATGAAAGTTGGATGAACTATAAACAACGTGCAATTTTAGGGGGGAAAACTTTTAATCAAGGGATCATATATAGACCCAGAAATGTGAAATCCTAAAATTAAATGAATGTATATAATATATAATAAATAAATATATTAACAAATTTATATATATATATATATACACACACACACACACACACACACACACATACATACATATACATATATATATACATATACATATATACATTTATATAATTTCTTGTACAAAATTATTTTTTCTTATATTTATATTAATTTAATGCTTGTTTTAGATTAGCTATATGTTGGTAACACTACTGAAGATCCTTCAATTCTCAGAACTGATTTACAGTATATACTGAACATGGAGAACAGCCCCTGGCATGAAGCTGCAGGACAGCAGCATGTTGTGGAGAGCTGAAATACAGCGCTCACATTGACAGCTTCTCTGAAGCCACGTGAGGACCCAGTGTGAAGAAAGATCTGACTGATTTGCTTTCCACAGAGACCCGAGCCTACCATCACACACACCTCACATTTCACACCCGACTGAGACCGAGAGGAGGGCAGGGTCAAAACAACCCACCTGAAACAAGCGAGACCCCCTGACCGGGCTGACAGCTCCAGTTTCAATAATATTGCTCATGCTGATTATGAAAAACATAAGCGTGTAGTTTATCATAACACAGCACTGGTATCATTTGCAGCATGTGGCGGTACAGTAACTGACACCGAAGAAACATGACTGGTGGCAGCGGCAGGACGGAGACGTGATTCTTAGCAGAAGAAGAACAAGAGCTGAGGTTAAAATGACATATCCTGGAACACACGTGCTGTGTGATACTCACGCGGTCAAAACTACCCATGCTGCCCAGGCGCATTCGCATACGGCTCGCCCCCTAGAGAACAAACAATGAAATTAACTAGTGAAAACAAAAGCAATACACTTGTTCAATTGTCATGCTTTAACAAATAAGCCTTTGATCATTATCAAATTTGAATGTTTTAATAAAAACAAAAGCAGATATTTTGAAGAATGTTCAAGCTGCTCTTTCCATGCAACAATTGATAGTTTTTATGAGACGTTGCACCATTATAGAACACTTTGAGGTCATTTCTCAATTTACTTTCATTCATTTTTTAGCAGCTTAAATATTACTATATGAATTGAGAATTTTCAAGTGATCTCCTTTTTTATATCTCTAAACGGTAACATGTTAAATGGCACATAAAACATTTTAAATTAATAAAATAACACTGTAAAGAATATGCTTAAATTGAAAAAGGGTGTTGATATCTGAAAGCAACACACTCAAGTAACAAAATGATTTCACCCTTATTTGAAATCTTAACTACTGTTACCAGACACACCCTTTACTGCTGATTGCAAGTGTTTTGGGACTCTGTGGTCAAAATGTTTTTCAAAAAAATACTGCTTAATATACCTTTTAAATGGCTTAATACAGACATGGTGCATTCATATTATGGGCTGATATGCTTGCTTTTAATGGCATGTATCAAGGTCAATTTTGTCTTTTAATGTCACTGTCATGACATATTAAACAACATACCAATATACATCCAGCAATATTCTCTAATGGATTAAAAAACAGGCTTTGTTGTTTTTAACCTTAAACACAGATATTGCTTTGTGTGTAAATACAGCAGATGGTTGAGTCATTATAATACTGTACACAAACAAAGCTATTATTCAGATGGCAAGGGTGGGGTAAATGGGTCAATCCCCATTCATAAACCACTCAGACACAGACAGATATTTCACACACACTCTCATAGGCGTAAAGCATTTCATACTGTAAAAACCACTGATTATATGATCTTACCCCCACCCCTACCCCAAAACCCAATCTTACAGGAAATCTATGGATAAACTTTAAAGCCAAAAGATGCCATTAAGCGTGTTTTTAACATTTTTAATTACAAAGATATAAGGAATGTCTTCATAAACCATCTCAATATTCTAATACCTAGGTCATATCCATGTCATTACACAAATTTCTGTCCTTGTAAACCACCCAAACACATGCACACACACACACATACCCGTGAGAAGATGTTCTCCAGGGAGCTGGTCAGAGAGCTCCGTGCTTTGTTCTTGAACACATCCAGTTTATTGCGACCCGCGCTGGAGTTATCAGAGGTCACGCTGCTGCCAGAAACATTCTGCTCACACACAAAGGTATAAAAGAGTGAATAAGCGAGAATGAATGAACTGAATGAATAGATAGTTTTCAGAGAGATCCGTGAAATGCGTGTTCTGAACTTGGTGACATTTTACTCAATAGATTTTGAAATGATGGAAGCAAGACCACCAGGTGTCAAGGATAAATCTGTACTTCTCGAAAAAAAAAAACACTGCCATAGGAGAGAGGTTAAAGCACACTGAGAGCTTTGGCAGCCTTTCTTTACACAAGTAACTGTAGTATTAAAAGGTTACGCGGGTAGCGTCATTGGTTGAATGACATGTTATGGTAATAGTCTTTATATTTACATAAAGGCTCATTAACATCAAGATAGATAACGATTAAGATAACTATAATGATAATTATATCTGCACCCACACCAGCGGATTATATTGTTCTTTTTGTAAGTGCATACTGCAGTTTTGCCATCTACATGCTTGCACTCTTTAAAAAATGAATAGATTTTTATCTAGTGTTTTTTTTATTCATCAGTCAAGAAAAAAAATTCTCAAAGTGGTTTTAATGATATTATTTCTTTGTGCCATTATTGTTAATGACATTTTGTTCAAATTTGCAAAATTTTACAGAATAGTATCTTAACAATTGGCATTTCTGTGTGAAGTTTGATGTTCTCCTCATGTTCATGTGGGTTTCCTCCAGGTGCTCCAGTTTCCCCCACAGTCCATAGACATGTGGTATAGGTGAATTGGCCATAGCGTATGTGTGAATGTGAGAGTGTATAGGTGTTTCCCAATACTGGGTTGCAGCTGGAAGGGCGTCTGCTGCGTAAAACATATACTGGATAAGTTAGCGGTGCATTCTGCTGTGACCCCTGATAAATAAAGAGACTAAGCTAAAGGACAATGAATGAACAATTATAGTGGGTTGTTTACACTTGGCCAGTTTGGTTCAATAAATAAACGATTTTAATTGCTCTGTTTTTCCAATTTATTTGAATAATTGTGTAAACATAAACAGGTGGCTCGGGGTCCGTTCTTCGTACCTCGCTTAAATGATCTAAGATTATTTGGCAGATCCTGGATCTTTTAATCTTGATAAATGATCTCTCGCTAATTTGGTTCTTCAAACGAGTTCGTGAATCAGATTAGAATGTCTGGATAAACTGATCTAAGATCGCAGCATGTGTAGTGAAGGACAGATCTATCGATCCTCGAAATCATGATCAGCAATGCAACGATTGGCTGACGGCACAGCAGCGTAATGACATCATCTGATTAATATTCAATTATCCATGTGAGCAAAATTACATCAAATTAGCAGTAAATGGCTTGTTAAATATGACACGCAATAACCTTCCACATTTGTTGTGAGCTGCAAGCTTTCCGCTTTCATGTGTCAAGTGTATTCATCATGTATTTCAATGCAAATCAATGTATTTAGTTCCACATTTAGAAAAGATTTTCTTTATTATAGTAGCCGTTTTTTAATCGGTGTAAAGAATAACTGGTTGTTTACAAAAGCGTTTTCATATTGGTAAAGGCGTCTGCAACTTTTGTGAAGCATCAAATCACCGGCATATTAACCATCAAAACATGTTTATGACTGCATAAATGTATTATTGCTTTAAAAAAAGTCACATATTGTGCATTTCTATTATACACAATTTGTACTAAAGCGATCAAAAAAGTTCATATCATTAAGTTTTCTCTTTGCACCACCAGGTGGCAATCTTTGTACTTTCATTTCGAGGGTGCAGATTGCATACGTTTTATTAATATGTATAACTTTATATATAAAGTTATAGTCATTAATAAAATAAATTTAGTTAAAAAATATGTACCATTTTCCCAAGTGTATATAACTACTACTGTAAGAAAATATCAGAATTCGGAACATACTTTCTGTATTATCTTTGCTTGAACTAAGCCGATCTAATCCTGTTTATATGAATTAAACCTGCTCCCGATCAAGTTTGACCTAGCAGAACTGTTGCTATGACAACAACTCTCGGATCAGCTTTGAAGAACGAAACGATCCTGGATCGTGTCAAATCGTCAATATCCAAATCCAGCTAACTGAATAATCCACGTACGAAGAACGGACCCTTGGTCCACTTCCAAATTAATTTTGATGTGAGTAAACATGGACTTATATATAAAAAACTTAACCTGGCTCTAGCTATATATAGCCTTGCAAGCTCACAATTTTGTTAAAGGAATAAATACAGACACAAATAAGCTATAACGATGATTCACCAATAATAAGTTTATGAATGCAAATTCATGTTAAAAATAGAAGTTACATTAGTTAATTTTTCATAAATTAACTACTGTAAAGATGTACTGTGGTGGCACGGTGGCTTAGTGGCTAGTACTGTCACCTCACGGCAAGTGTGGAGTTTGCATGCTCTCCCTATGTTCGCCTGGGTTTCCTCCGCGTGCTCCAGTTTCCCCCAGAGTCCAAAGACATGCGCTATAGGTCAGTTAATTAAACTAAATCGGTCGTAGTGTATGAGTGTGACTGAGTGTGTATGGGTGTTTCCCAGTACTAATTTGCAGCTGGAAGGGCATCCACTGCGTAAAGCATATGCTAATAGGTTGAGGGTTTATTCCGCTGTGGTGGCCTCTGAAATAGAGACTAAGCCTTAAGGAAAATGACTGAATAAATGAAGATGTACTGTGTGTTTTACACATTGAGCAGGGCAGCTGTATTCATTCAGGAGCTCTGTTCTAATCTATAGCTGTATTCTGATCACTCTTACAATCTGTCTTATCCAATTAGAGTTGGGTTCACAGTTTCATGACTCCACGAAGCAGTGTCTGTGTGTGAAAATCAAATAGTGCATTTATGTTGTTTGTGTAGTTTCACTACCTGAGTAACCTCTCCAATGTGAACATGAGATTTCTGCTTGGTCTCACACAACTGTCGGAGGTGGAGAATCACAAGCTCATTTTCTTCATGATCGGACGCTGGCTTCATTTTCTAATGCATAAGAAAAAATAAACTAAATATGCAATACAGCAATTATTCTTTTTTTTTTAAACTGCAACAACTTTTCTTGTCCGCCTACCTGCACCTGCTCGAATATGTTGACCTGCTCGTTGTCACTCAGTTGGGACAGGTACTTCTGAATAGCTAGTTTTGCTCTGGGAGGATATAAGCCTGGCACATTGAGAGAGGAAAACACTGCAAAATTGTACTTGAACTAGGCCACTGAGTACATTGAGTGAGCTGATGGAAGCTGGTGTCCTGTACCTTCTATTCTCTCACAGAGCTTGTGCAGGTCATGCATTGGACAAGCCTCGCAAAGCTTGATTTGGTTCTGGGAACTCTGGAGAGCTGCTGCTGTTGTAAAGGCCTGTTTCAATGTGAGCATCACTTCATCCACCTGAGAAAAACATAAAACATTAAGTGACGATTTTGTTCGCTTTGACTAGTTTGATGAAAACACTGCTTTATTTGCACATCTTTCAAGTGATAATCCAGTTTTGTGCATAAAGTTTATTCGAATTTTTTATATAAACACAGCTAGTGTCAGTTTTAGACTCAACTGATGGTACCAATGCTATCAGTTAAATGTAGAAAAACATATTTAGACTTGACCAATAAAAATGTGTTCCAAATATTTGTGAAGATAACTTTTTTTCTTATCTGAAATCTGCTGCCACATACTTTCCTAAGTGACTTATATAATCCAGTTTACAGAAAACACAAATCAGTTTCAGTTATACTTCACTGTCACTGTCCCACAGGTGGCATGTTTTCAGTTCAGTTCAATTCAGTTCAGTTTTCATAAATAATAATAATACTTGTGTAAACCTGAACTTTTTTGACAACTATATACAATCTGCATATATAACCTATATATTTCAAGTGTGAAATCAAAATGTGGGGTGACAGTTAAAGGGATTGTTCACCCAAAAATAAAAATGCACTAAACATTCACTCACCATTAAGTGGTTCCAAACTTTTATGAGTTTCTTTTTTTTTTTTTTGGTGAATACAAAAGTAGATATTTTGAAGAATGTTGGAAACTGAGTAGCCATTGTCATTTGTAGTAGGAAAAATACCATAGAAATCAATGGTTACATGTTTAAAGCATTCTTTTATATACAAAATATGATTGAATTTTCATTTTTGGGTGAACTATCCCTTTAATCATTTTGTGCAGTGCATTAGTTTTACAGTGTGATTTTCACAGTGTTTTTCAAAAGTGGCATCATGGCAAGCATCAGTGCAAACCACAAAAAGGGAAAATCCTCTATGTTTGCATATGATCTTTACAATGACGTCTTATCTGTACCTTGTGTGCATAAAAACACAGGGCTAATTCTATTGCTCCTTTAGGTGGCATTCATTTGGCAGAGAAATCAGCCTAGCGGCGAAGGTAATTTCCACAAGACAGGCAAAGGAGAGTCATTGTTTCCATTGTAGCTTAGGATAAATAATTGATCGGTGTGGAGACAACAGGTGCTGCAAACCGGTCAGGACTCACCAGAGACTCACTAGCGCACTGGAACACATAACACACATACTGGGCAGGGCCAGACTCCACTACATCTCGACAAATAAAGCCAAAGTGATCTGTCTGTTTAACACCCTGCAGACACAAACAACAACATCCAGAAAATCTCAATGCAACACAACAACACACATCGGCATTAAAATTTACTTTAATTTACATAAAACATACTTTATTTAGTGTTTAAGTAAATGTTAATAATTATTTTCTTCTATTCCGATATAATTAATAATCTTAATTTTCCAAAAAAAATTTTTTTCCAAATTTCAAATATTGTCATTTAGAGCTTATTTTTTAACTGAAAAAATAAAAAATAACTAAATGTATTCATTTTAGTCTAATTCAACTGTTGCTACTGAAAATCAAGTTCTTTTCTTATCTTAACTCTTCTGAACTTAAAGACTGCTTTTGTGTCTAAAAATAAATACAACATTTTAATAGTAAAACAATAGTATTTTGTTATTAATGCAAAAATAAGTCTTTAAAAATCCCAAAACATTTTTATTTCAAATATGGAAAAAAAAAAGTCATCAATAGGTTTAAAGAATTTTTATTGTCAAATTCTTAACTCTTCGTTTTTTTTTTTTTTTTAATATTGGTTACTTTATCATGTTTTTAATGTAATACTTTATTGAAACCTATTGAATTGATGAACTTAAGGGTGTGCCTTACAATGACTTAATCAAAGTAAAATTACTGATGTCTAAAAACAGGCCTAAAACATCCATTAACTATAGTAAAATTACAGTAGTTCATACCTCTTGGTGCCTTAGCATTTATAATACAAAACAATAATACAAAATATAATATATAATAATACAAAACTGCAAAAAGTCACAATACACTGTAGAGATTTAGGATTCATATTTAATCATAAAATGTGAAAAATGTCACATCAGTGGTGCTGTAGTTGCTTTGTATAACACTGTGTGATAACATATGGTGACATTAAATATGAGACGGAAAAGAGATTATCTCAAAAGCCAAACAAACCTAATCCTAAAACACACAGACCTGTGAACAGGAAGAGATGTCCTTAAAATTCTTCTCCAGAACCACACTTTTGGTGTCGGGGCTTATGAGATTCACTTCAAAACGTCCAACCTGCACAAAAGACAGACGCGGCAGGGTTAACAACACAAACAGCAAGCTAAACCTCTGATAACTCAGCCTCTCTGATACTCGGCCAAGCATTGTTTGTGAGCTTTATTTGCATCAAAAGAATCCTCTTTATCATCAAGGTCACAGAGGTCACAAGTGATTTATAAACCAAAGGACCACAGAGACACCTCTCCTTGAAAAGTGTTTAAAGGAAAACGCGTGACTGCAAATTGTATTGCATACTAATTAGCAAGGTTTAGTATTTCACCTCTCAAAAAGCAAACATTTACATGTGCAGGCCTGTTAAAGGTTAATTGGTAAAAGGCAATTGGTTAAAAAAGCCAACGCTATTGGCATTGGCTAGTAAATGTTTTATTTTAATCTTTTAGTTTACTTAAATTTAAAACTATTCTTTGTATATTTATGCAAACAAAAACAGTTAAAGGACACAACAAGAGTTGAAATCAATCTGTTCTAAACTTATTCTTAGCCTGTAACTCAACTGCTGGTGAAAGAACTCAATGTCTATTGTTAGTGGCTGACTAAAAAAAATAATTATCAAATATAGTCACAATGAAGAGAGTTATATAATAACAGCCCAGAATATCCCAAGATTCATTGTGTGCTGATGACGACAGGGCGTTTAAAAAAAAATCTGCATTGCACTTTTTTTAATGCAAGTACTTGATTTTAGGTTATTTAATATTTAATGCGTTATTTATTCATTCATTTATTAATTTTCTTTTTGGCTTAAGTCCCTTTATTATTCTGTGGTCGGCACAGCGGAATAAACCACAAACTTATTCAGCATATGTTTTACATAGCGGATGTCTTTCCAGCTGCAGTCTATCCCTGGAAAACACCCATACACTCTCATTTACACACATACACTACAAACAATTTAGCTTACCCAATTCACCTATAGCGCATGTCTTTGGACTTGTGGAGGCAACCAACTGCGCCACCACACTGCCCTCAATGCTATATATCTAAATTATTCTTATACCTAATAAAATGAATGGCTTGTTTTGGCTTTCATAGACTTCAAGGGTGCATCTTTGAAGGATGCACCCACTAGATTGAGATGCAAAAATGTAACCTTGGACCACAAAAACATTCATAAGTGTTCTTTTAGAGGTTTTGGAAGTTGAGATTTATACATCTCATGTAAACTGAAAATAATAACGTAAACTGAAAATAAATATGGTTAGGATAAATACTATTTGGCTGAGATATATCTATTAAGATGCAGAAACAAACATGTATATCTGAACTACAAAACCATTCATAAGTGTAATTGTTGAAAACAGATTTATACATCAAACGTAAACTGAAAATAAATAGGGTTAGAATAAAAAAAAAATTTCGCTGAGACTACAGCCATTTGAACATCTGGAATCTGATGGGTCAAAAAATTTTAAATATTGAGAAAAGCAACAACATTTACAGAAGTGTTGGCTACAGGTGGTCACAAATCAGTTAGCGTTTATTGAAGGGAAATAAAAGTAGTGCAACTACATTTTAAACTGACATCAAATATTTTCATTGCTCATATTGAACAAGGATTGTTCAAGTGCTAAATGTAAAAAAAACATTCTTCACAAATATAACACATTTAAAACATACAAAAACATGGTTCTTTAAAATATGCATGTGTCCGATGCAATGTCACAGCAATTTGTAAATTTTGGATTCATTGGCTAATTCATATTAAAGGTGCTGCATGTAAGTTTTTGACTTCTAAAGCATTAAAATATACCACAATGTGTTTGCAGATATTTAAGAAACATGCCAAGTGAGCATACTTGTGTTTATACAGCGGCGCAATTAATCGAAAAGTAATCTAAACCGAACCTATTATTGATCTAATTTTTGCAGGTCAAGTTTTTATTTGTATTTTTTAAATTTTTTTTGCCTTTATTAGATAGGACAGTGTTTAGACAGGAAGCGAAGTTGGAGAGAGAGAGAGAGAGAGGGGGTAGGTTAGGAAAATGTATTTGAGCCAGGATTCGATCTCGGGACACCCTGACATGCTACTGTATGTCAACACGCTAACCATTACACTATTGCGCCGACTGCAGGACAATTTTTTTAATTACTTTCTCTACCGCATGTGGAGTCACGTGACCCCACTCTGTTAAGGCTGACTTATACTACTGAATCAAACGCACGGGTGTGGTGCGGAGCAGCCATCGCATACAGGTCTACACATCGCATACACTACATAGTGATGATGATTGGAAGCTGAGCCAGAGATTCATTGAGATGACATTTACCATTACCATTACAATAAAATTATTTTTTACATAAAAGTATTTGTTTACAGAAGATGCAAGGAATGCACAATTTAAAATATTATTTACAGGATTTTCAAGTGTTAATTTAATTAGAAGAGATACTGCTTATTTTCTACTTGTAATATGAAAAACAATAAATTATTTTGTTTACAAAAAAGCTATTTAATTTCACAAAAAAAAAAAAAGTGATTGTTGGTTTTAGGCAATGTGTGTTTTAATTTCAGCTGTTAAGCGTTGATGTTCAATAAATAATCATAGAGAGTAGATAGTGTGTTTTCTTCAGTTATTTTGAAATCAAGTAATACAACCTTCATGTAAAAAAAAAAACTTCATTCACCTTTAATATGTAAGAATATTTAATAATAAATTAAAAATTACTTATACAATAATCCTTTATTAATAGTAATTGAGTTAAAATGTTTAATTGATCGAGATTTTGATTTTAGGCCAAATTGCCCAGCCCTACTTGTTTATCAGAAAAACAATGCTGAAGTCAGATATTCTGCTTTGAAAATGTGTTTTCCGTGCCTAAATGCTGTCTTTGTTTTGGTCATTTTAACCTGGCCATTGCCAGTTTAGCCAATTATATTTCAGCTACCCGGGTTGCGTTGGTGGAGGACCAGATATTTCATTCATTCATTCAGAAAGGCTCTGAAAGCATGCGTCAGCGACTGAAATGTGACCTCCAGTGGACAGTAGCAGACTCAGATATGAGACAAAGATTAATTTCCTCATGAGGTGGTTATTAATAAGCAAATTATCTAAATATTATGAATGTAAAGATTAGGTGAGCAGGTTACATTATAACCCCGTGTCCTAACAACATGCTTCATGATGAGATTTGCAGTGATGAGCAATTTGGCTGTTTGTATCATTACAGAAATTTAAATACAGCCATTCAGAAGAACATCATATAAACTCACGCAATGGTCGGTTTACAATGTATTTAATACATATTAAACCTCTTTAACATTATTAAATGTAGGGTACTTGCTGAATTACTCATATGTGTTTAGTTCTAAAGTTCAATTTCAAACAGTTTATTTTATTTTCAAGATCTGAGGTGAACTATCTGCTGCTGCTTTCAATATATGCAAATAAATATCTTGTAAAATGGCATTCAAACTCACAATGTTTGCATTTAACACTAAATAAAGCACATGAGGTTTATCTGAGGTGATCAATGTCAGTTTTCTATTATTCACCTGTGAGAAATAGAAGCCATTTCTAATAGATCAATTTGAGGTGTTGGTTAGGACAAAACTCCTTTTAATATGGAAAATATTCCTTCTATCGGGTGCTGTTGCTTTGATTTAGAACACAATTTAAATCACTCGCTCCTGTCCTTTATCTGGCAACCTGCGCCTCAACCACTGGGCATCAAACTTATATACTGCACCTTTAATTTGTAAGATCTCATTTGTACATTGTAGAACAAATTTAGTTTGCTTTTCTGACAATGCATAAAACAAAATACATGTCCTTGTTCGTTCGGGCTGGTGTATCTTGCCACATTACCTGAAAAAGCATTGTGCGGTTCTTGTCGGCATCAGATGGCTGCACGTTATTTGGTGCGCTAGCATGTCTCCTCCTAGTCGTCCCTTTGCCAGCCTCTCTGGGTCTTTTCTGCAGGCCACCTGCCAGGCTGTTACACCGCGTCCGAATCTCCTGCTGCTCCCCAAACCCAGAGTCCTCCAAGATACACTCAGGAAAGGCCCCTCGCAGGCTGCCCGTACTGGAGGAGTTCGCCAGGTCCAGTTTCCCATTGCCCACCTCAGACAGCTCTTCCTCAGTCAAGCTGGGCTCAGATTCTGGTTCATCCACTTCACAGAGGGATGAACTTAACGGATCCTCGCCCATAATAAACTCCACAGGGGCTTCAGTGGAGTTCCGCTGCCCATTGAGTAGCCGCAAGCGTTTACGTTCAATCTCATGTTGGCGAAATTTGTCAATGCAGTCATCGATCAAAGTGGACGGGGCTTTCTTGTGGTTGACGGTCACCTTTCCACAGTAAAGCACTTCAAACTTTTGGGAGTTGTAGAAAGACTCATCGCTTTCTTGCTTGGGCTTGCTTTCCTCCTTAAGAGCTGCTTTGGACACCTGTCTGATGCTGCTAATAACCTCAGGCACCTGGGGAAACAGGGTAAGGCATCAGATCAACCGTAAAACTTCTAAATCAACATTCCAAAAGGCAAACAAGGACAAAACCTCCATTAAAAGGCTCGGTTGTTATGTTAAACTTTTGCAGGGAGACGTGCAGGTTGCATAACTAAACTAGGCTCAGCCCCTGAGGAGCAATTTAAGAGTCAGTAATACAAAAGCCAAAGCAGACTGACTATTTGAAAAGGAAACGGCTGAGGAACCTGAGTGTACATTAAAGAAACCAAATGGAAATAAATCTATTAGAGGGGCCTCCACTTTGGTATCTGATACTACTATCGATCACTTTGAATCAAGCCTGGAGCTAGGAAAGCAGATCTCTGCTATTATATGCCTGAATATTAGAGATCTTTTGAAACTACAAATGCAAGGACAATTTTTTGCCATTAATGATGGTTTAACATTTTAAAATCAGCAACACCATACATCTACACAACATCTAGGGAATTTGCAATGTTTTAACCAGCTGAAAATTTAAAAAAAAAGATTGTTCATTATGTTGGCGCCAGTAGCCTAGACGTTAAGTGCACCGACATATAGCACCAGTGTGCTCACAGTGACCCAAGTTCAATTCCCGGCTCCTATGCCAACCCGGTTCATTGTGCAAAAATATTGTCTAATATTTTTTATAAGCAAATATTTAATTTCTAAAGATACAATTCACCCCAAAACATGCATAAATGTATAATAAATGTAACAGTGTGTAATAAATGTAACAGTCTAAATAATGTTCAGTTTCCTGCAAATGACAACTGTTTCTCTTGTTACACCTCAATGTATGATCACGAGTCACAGGTATTAGTTTTATTTTACCTTTAATATCTCTGAAACTGCAGATTCATTGCTGTTTTCTTAAATTTGTATTTATTTTTTTTAACCACCCATCATCAGCTACAAATCTTATTTAATGCTCTACTAAAGAAATAAAAAGGTATTAATATATAAAGTAGGTTAATTAGGTTAACTTGGCAGGTTAGGGTAATTAGTCAAGTTATTGTATAACAATGGTTTGTTCTGTAGACTACCGAAAAAATTATAGCTTAAATTCTAGCCATATCAGACATTACATTAATATTATCAGACATACTGTGAAAATTTCCTTGCTCCGTAAAACATTATTTGGGAAATATTTAAAAAAAGAAAAAAAATTCAAAAGGGGACTAATAATTCTTTTTCTTTCTTTTTTTAATTCTTCATTTTGTTTAACACACCATTTCTGGAAACCTTAAGATTCCAATTAGCCATTTTGATATGGGTCATCCACACTGAAAGGCACGAGGCAATTAGGAAAATATCATTCACAATGACTTAGGTTCAGAACTGAAACAGCAGTTTTATAATTTCATAAAACAAACACATGCACAGTCACAAGCCAGAGAGATTCCCCGTCAGCTTAATTTTACTTATAACAGCAAATAAAACATTTGATTTTACAAATGAAAACATGACATTGATTCCATTTAACAGCTTTATTACATTTAGGCACAGCTACGACCGACAAACCAACATTGCTAAGGAATAGTCATTATAACTTTTAATATTAAATCTCTTAACTTTGCTTTTGGGTAGAAATAAACAGCTCAACCAGCAAACTCTAATATTTCTACAAAAATAAATATATATTTACAACCATGATCTCTTCTGCATTGTGGTTTGCTTAGCTCAGAATGTTCTGCAAGGTCTCTCTAGCACAAGTGCACACAAGGTTATGGCAACATTAAATAAACTGATTTATATCAGCAAGACAAGTCTTGTTTGGAGAAGATAAAAAGGAATCTGGTGACAGAATTGGGCCTGGTGCCCGCAAGAAGAAGGTTAAACATAACGAAGCTCCACAGACTTTAAACAGCCTACAGGCCAGCTCAGACTAGACTGGAAGAGCACGCTCAGCTGGCCTGAACAACATGATGAATGAACATCAGCCTGCTAGAAGATTCAGCTCTGAGCTGACTCTACATAAACGGCAACTATAGGAGAAACATTAAAAAAAGCAAGCAGAGTAGAATACTGATTGGTTTAGCCATGATTCAAACAAAGTTGACATTTCTATAAATCAAAACTGTACACACCCAACTGTGGCACTTACTATTGCACCAGGATAAAAATTCTATGAATTTTCTATGAAAAGATTTTCAGTGATAGATCAGAAGATCACAGATTCAGTGTCTATGTATCTATGATTTCACTTTTTTCTGAGCGAAAAAAATAAATAATACAAAAAAAACACATACTGCTACAATTAAAAAAAATTCTGGTTTATTAAACAACCTTTCAGTTCTTCAAAACATTTTTTTTTATATTTTAATAAGATTATACTAAAATATGAAAATGTAACCATGTATCAGTGATGCAAACAATACCTATATCTAATAGTCAATCAGCTTAAGCTTACTATATTTATTCATATAAGTTCATCCAAAGAAAAACCTGCCCCATGATGTTTTAAACAGGGAAGATGTTGCTGATCTTTGAAGCATAAATGAAGATACTTTTATGAAACCTCAAGCTTAAAAAGGTCCTAAAGGCATAAAGAAAATAAATAAATAAAAATCAGTCAAGCAGTCCAATTCAAATCAAAGACTGAAGACAGAATTGTGATTTTTAGAAGCACTAACCCCTTTACGTCTGAAAATAGCATTTTGGCACTTTAGATTAGAACACCTGATCTTTAGATTGATCATCTGAAGAGTATATGCAGGAAATCCTTTAAATGGAAGAGCAAACATCATTTAAATCACCAAATCACATTTATTTCAGTAGCAAAAATTCAAAAGCATTTTAGATAGTTTATTCTTATCATGGAGGGCATTGACAGCAGTAGAGGCAGAACACAGCGAGCATTAAAAGACTTTGTTTGTGGGACTTGTGTAAAAGATCCAATAATGTCTGCATTCAAACGTAGAATTCAAATGTGTTTTAGTGAGAGTGCTGCATTAATCTAACATATTAAACGGTAAATATATAATGCTTAAAACTCCAAAGATGAATCTCAGCGGGTCCTGCTAACCAAAATGTCTAATTCCAACAGTAAAAAAACTGCCTATTAATATGTTATTTACAGATTGCAGAGATCCGTGTAACATCATAATGTATTTACAGCTTCAGAATCATAAATATGTGTATTCTGGTGTAACTATTGCCCATTTCATTATGGACGAGTCCAAGCGTATTCACAACCACCACTTCAAGTTCACACCAAATTTAGCATTAACAATAAAACTTTTGTCTGCTCGTGTGGAACTGTTTAAAACCACTTTACAAATCCTTCAAATGTAGTCCTAATTAGGATTGCCAACTCAACTGATTTAAGAACAGTTCACTGTAGGGTTAATGAAACCAAAACAAAAAAGAGAATCACTGAGAAAATCCCATACTGGAACATTTATTTTTCAACACATAAGAGAGCAATGCAAAAGCATTAACAAGAATCCAGTCAATCAGAACAAATCTTCCAGAAACAAAAGCCTTGTAATGTCCACATAGTGATTGCTGTATAAAAATACAACGTGCTATACCAAGGTCACAAGCATTGCTTGTACATGGCAGTAATAGAGAGTAAGCCAAACATAACCACACACTGCACAAACTGCTCTATCTCTCTCAAAGATAAACAGGCATGTCTGACAAGTGGGCTGAAACCCATGAAAACTTTCACATTACAAGCAAACATTTGCAAAGGACACTTGAATCATTTCTTTCCCAAGTCACTGGCATAAAACTACCCCATAATATAAATCACTTTCTTTATGGACTATCAACTATATTACCCACTATATAACATTTAAAGGCACAATATGTAGGATTTATTCATTAAATATTCAAATCTAGAGAAAAAGGCCATTTTAACTAGTGACATTTGCAGTTTGCTCTTATAGAAAACAAGCAAACATCATAGACGCTTTAATATGCCATGTGCTTTATTAGCCTGCACATGCTAAAAATGTATAGAATGATAAAACAGCGCTGCTTCTCTCCCACATGATCATAACGGGTAGAACTGTGGCATAATAAAAGTTCAACTGCTTTTGTCTCATGTTACACCAGTCCCTCATCATTGATTACTTTATCAGTGTCAGTTAATTTTGATAGCTTTCATCCTTACTCTGCTTCGTAGTATCATTATAATAAATCTAAATAAATCAATGAACACCATTTTTGCAGGCATCTCATAGGATGCAATATAGATGACAACTCCCATGATTCCACACTCAGTCATGGCATCATCAACAATACATTTATTTGTTGTAATTACACACTATCTATCTATAGCGTCAAAAACTACATACTGTGCCTTTAAGAATGACATAAAACTCAATATAATACATGGCTTGTTGAGCAGAGGTGTTCTACTACTTTTTGAAGCACCAAAACCATTTAAGGAGGGAGCAGAGTTATATATAGAACCAGAGTATCCTAAAACGACTTGAGGCTGTAAAAGTAACCATCCACAAAACCCTATAAACCACATTAAAATCCATGCAGAATGTCATAGCAATGCCCTGGCAACCACCCAGAACAGCCTGGAATTTTAGCAGCAAGTTCTACATGGACAAGCAACACTCACTTTTTTTTTACTTCACCACTGGTTCATGCAAGTACAGAAGGATCTTCACAAGGGAGTCAGTGTAAAAATAAAGACAACTAAGACATTTGTGGTCCACTGCACAACTCTTAGTAAATATGGCTTGGTTCAGTGCAAACATTTCATCGAAACCCCAAGGCTAACTTGTGGAAAATCACAGTGCGGTTAAGAGAAAAGGCTCCTTGAGATCAGGAGGAAAAGCAAACAATCGTTCAAGCAATGATCTGCTGCCTATGTAAGCAGCACAAAGGGTGTGGCTGCTTGTTTTTAACTGACAAATGACTTATTTCCTAGAAACAGATTTCCCAAAAAAGTCTCTGACTCCCTAGTTTAACCAGCCTGAATAATCTGCAAAAGGCAGACTTCTTTTTAAAATTGGACAGAGAAA